GGATAGGTCAAGACATAATCCAGGGTAGGGAGTATCTGCTGGAAGTCAGGTGTCTGAAACCTAGAATAAAAGTGATACATATGCAGGCCAGTGCTAGTATTTCAAATTTGCTAGGTTTAGTTTGCTTCCCACCTAGAATGTTAATCTTACGCGCTTTTTTAGGCACACTGCACACTTTGCTGGGTGAGAAGCCTAAGACAAGGGTTTGAAACACTTGGGTGAGCTTTGTGCACTAAGCACACTGATAGTTAACTCAGGCATATGAGAACCAACTCTTCTGTAGTGGTGGCTCCATTGGAGAAGGAACTTGCAATGGCTAAGCATTGTCACAGCTCTGTTTGTGCAGCCTTCTACCCTGACACATAGCAACAGTAATGGACAGACAGTGCTGTGTCATTGTGCCATCATCATTTTGACATCATCATTGTGACATCATTTATTGTGTCATCAATAGCCTGCTGTGCTCAACCATGCTTCTATATTGTTGTATATTTCTGCTGATGCATGTGAAGTTCTTAATTAAAAGTTGAAGATGTTAATAATGTATAGCAGCAACACTAGATCCCTTACTTGTAAGGTGAATTCTGAATTTGTTTTCCTGAGTCCTGTTTATACAGACTCAGTTCTTTCTTACTTATAAGTGTTTAATAACCATATGAAATGTTCCTCAGTTTGAAAGATACTCTGTTTAAGCTGAAAAAACTAGAGAAATATTATGTTGTGTACTAGGAAAAGATTATGTTGCCAAAGCAGGTGAAAGAGATGGCATTGATATACCAGCTAAAGGAAATAAGGAAGGAGCAAGCCTTTGCATTTTCAGTTCTTTCACATTATGTCCGACCATAAGGTTCTAAGTTCCTACAGGAAAAATAAAATCCAACTGTATGATGAACTGCTTGCTGTGCACTGAGGCAGCCACAGCAATGTTGGAATGGACCCTTGTCGAATTAGCAGTCTTTAATCTACAGAAAGTTTTAATATTTTACAAAAGCTGAAGATGGAAAGAACAGTGAGGTAGCTGTTTAGACTTGGGACTAAAACTCAGTTCTTCAATCTTAGGGAATAATAACTGGAATAAAAAACAGTGCCCCCTCAAGATTCCTGGTTTTGTTTGATGAATGTTTAGCACTTCAAATGTACAATCATATCAGTCTAATGTCAGGCCTCATTTAATTTAAACCTCAAAGCACATGAAACATAAGAATAGTGCTGTTGATAATGAAAGAGAAGGCAGTTTCCTTCTTCATGGGAGCCTCAGTTATCTGAGACTTTTTTTACTGCTGTAGCCATTAGGCAGCATAGAGACATTGGTTCCAGTGCAGCTTTAGATTGCAAAAATAAAATTCCCTCCTTTACTTACACATTTAAAATACATCTTTTAACTCTGTATAATTATGAAAAGTGTTTAATTTTGTCTTCTTTGAAATGAATGAGTAGAATATGTCTTTTTATATCTGCTTTGCATCCTGGTGGTAGCTACAACCATGCTATAGCATCTTTCTGCCCTGGCCATGCCCTAGCAGGCATTTTTGCACTTGCCCACTTAGAGTTCATGTAATGCTCTTCCCATCTTAGAATGTCAAAATATACTGGGTATATATGGGTATAAAATGTGTCTTCCTCTCTTCCTTGGATATAGTTTATCCTCTTCAAGCTGTAGAAACACTTCATAGGTGGTATTTGCAAAGCATCTAAGTGACAAAAGCCCTCTAGGTTGTTTTGGTTTTGTTTTTTCTTCTGGCTAACTGATCAAACACAAAATTGGTGGGTGCATAAAACCATTGGTGATTGACAGCACTGCTCTTTATGGTCTAACAATGAAAGTGGAATCCATATGGATGCATATTTTAAACAGAAAAAGTTACTTGGGAGTAGTGTTGCTTTGAGCTGCCACGTGCATGGATCCTGTGATCCAATCCATATTTTTGCTTTTTCTCACTCATTGTGAAATCTGATTTTGAAGGAGCTATGGGATTGAAATACAATTGTAGCTGTGTGTATTTATTGTCTCCTGATGCCAGTGGTGAGCTGGTCTGAAGACAGGCCATTGGTGACAATGAAATTATGAACATAAGTATTTTAAAGATATGGGCATGTGTTAAAATTTGTTCTAAAACTTGATGTAATATGTAGTCCTCATTAAGTTAGTTTAAGACAAATTGACTTATATATTAACAGTTGCAGGAGTTTAAAGCATGTACATACCATGGCTCAGAATAACTTAGTTGATGGGTTGCAATTCATTAAATTACCTCAGTTTCATCATGGTTGTGGTGTGCCAGCCCTGAGGTTTTTATCAGGCACATTAAACATTTACCCATTGAGTGGGATCTATGCCAAAGAATTCTTGAAGAATCAGAATTATTTTAAGTACCTGTTTCTTTTGCTAGAAATCCTTTAGATTTTCACAGCAACTGTTGGTCACAACTAGACATTGCATGTACATTGATAACACATGAATGTCCAATGGAGTTTATTTATTTGTGTATAATTCAATGGATTATTTGTCAACTATTAGGTTTTTTATTCTTTCTTAAAGATAGAAATCTATTTAAATACAGTGACAATCTGGAAGCTTCCCTTCACTGCAGTCTTTTACTTAACCTTTTCTGTTTCAGTGGCACAAGACTTTTCATAGTACGCCTGAGAAGTTCCTCTAAAGCACTGCTGTTACTCATATCTCTTGAATTGGGAAATATTAAAGTTTTGATCCTGCACAACTGGAAATGTATGCTCTGCAATTTAGGGGGACAAAATAAGCTGGAAATATTTGTGTCAGTTCAGAATAAATTTCACAGTTGCATAGAGAACTCTGATGTTCTGTTACTTTTTGTCATATATATAATTAGATATGTAAATGTCTAAAATAAAAAAGGCTGCTTAAGGTAGCAGTTTCTCAAATATGAGGATTACAATATGATCCTTCTGGTTTTATGTTTTCCCAAGCCCTGAAAAGAATAATAAGTAACAGAAAATGAAATTGTTTCTTGTTGCAGCCTTTATCCTCATCTCTACTCAAGAGCATACATTAACTTTAGAAATCCCGAGGACATCCTTCTTTTTAGAGATCGCTTTGATGGCTATGTCTTCATTGATAATAAAGGTTGGATTACTTGTAAGATATTAAATGTGTATGTGGACATATACCATTTTAGAGCATCAATTTGCTTCCTTTTTGCTAGTTATGCCATTATTTCCTCACTGTGCAGTAATTACATAAAAATATGTTAACATTTATCACTTAAAACATAATAAAGTGCAAAATATATTTGTCCATGCAGTTGTGCTTCTCTGTGGTGTGCATGTTTTATGTGCTTTAGGCAATGCACTGTCAAGATCATACTAAGAAAATTACCTTATGCAGGCTTCAATTCATTACAGTAGTAACTGAACACATTGTGAGCATGTGTTTCTTCAGTGTTTCTGAGATAAAATTCTGCAAGAATTTTAAAAAGCAAGAGGAAGCCTTCAATATTTTGCTTGCCCACATTTAAGACATGTAGAGGTTGAATTTTTAGGGCCTTTGCAGACATCTTGAGTTGAGTTCTGAGAACAAGAATGGCAAAATTGATTTCCAGTTTTAAAATGTTCAGTCCGCAAATGTTTGCCCAAGAGTGAAGAAAAAGTCTGCAATGTTGGTGTGGATAAATCCAGGTTTCCTGCAGGAGTATGAAGCTGCCATCAATACAAGTGGTTTAGCAGAACTTCAGCAGTTCCTTGCCTCGTGCAGGCATACCTTCTGTAAACAATTCCATAGGTTATGTAAAATAAACATAGATTTGTGGCTCTCTTGTACAGACATTTTTTTATTATGTACACTCAGTGTTGCAGAGGTCCTGTGAAAAGTAGTCCTGCCTACTCTTACTAGAAACTGATCTCTAAAGAAGCTGTCAAATTAATGAATTCCTCTTCAGCATTTCCTACCTAAGATATTTTATTTGCTTCTAATATCCCTCAGATTTGGATGATTTTTGTAGAGATGAAGAACAACACATTCCTAGCAGTGTGCATTTCCCAGATTTAAAATTCCGATTAAAAGCTAGAAAGAAGTTATTTTTATGATTCAGCTAAGATTTTACTTTGACTAAATTCAGCACATTCTTCAATATTATGCTGGACTGAAGCCAGAATACACTGCAAGACTGAGCTTGGACACAGTTGGCTAGTTTGACATGATTGCTTGTACAATTAAAGAGCACAGGGTGCAATCAGAAGTGCTCTCTGGTGAGGCTTGTGGCAGCATTGCATTATGAGGCCAAAACTGAAACAAGGATTAGCAAGTTCAGTAAGGTTAACAAATGTTCTAGCAGACTGAAGACAAGTTTTCTGTGAACTTGAGCAAAGTGTAATCTTGAACCTGCTGCAAGTGAAAACCCAGTGAAATTCAAAATCCACATGGTTCTGGCTTCAGTCCAAAGAAGAAGCCAGCATTTAAGGCACAACTCAAAGCAAAGAATCACTCCAGTAAACACAGGCAGGAGTTGCACAGTCCATCGTAAACAGAGGAGTTTCACACAATTTTACATGTTGTGTTTTACAGTTGTGGTTCTGAAAGGAGATGCTTTGTTGTTTTACAGCATATTACCTGACATTTATTTATTTTTTAGGCAACAAAACCTTAGAAAAGCAACTCAACAGTTTCAGATTAATTTCCTGATAGTACTTAATCACTTGTCAGATTGAGATTTGGTGATATATTTTTCTAATCAATGTCTGTGAATAATTAAAAGGGAACTATAAATAATAATGCAAGAATTATTTTGCAACAGTAGTCATCCTCATTTTCACAGTCTTATCAGCATATCCAAATAAAAGATAATTTATTTTTTTTTAAAATACCTCTACACATAACTTTTAATTTGAAGTTTAGGAGTGAATTGTAGAAACATTTAGTTTTGTTTTCATATAAGACTTCCCAACATGTGTTCAAGAGTTTTGAAAATCTTGAAGATAGGGAATGTTTCTCCCCCTCAAAAAATTAAGGATTGATTTCTTTTAAGGTTTGGAATATCCTGCAGTGGTTGAGTTTGCTCCATTCCAGAAGATTTCAAAAAAAAAGCTGAAGAAGAAAGATGCCAAAGCTGGGAGCATTGAAGATGGTAAACATCTTTTCTTGACATCAAAGTGGAAAATTTCTGTTATGCATTGCAAAGTGTTAACATAATTCAAAATTTTTTCTTTACAGATCCAGAATATAGGAAATTTTTAGACAATTATTGTGCTGATGAAGAGAAGATCTGTGCCAATCCTGAGATTCTTTTGGGAGAGATTGAGGCCAAAACAAGGGAACTCATTGGTCTGTTTTCTTGATTTTTCTTATTATTGAGAATATTCAATATCTTACTTTTATGTTTTTATGATATTGCCTGCAAGAGCTGACCTGTTCAGTCTAACAGATTTATATTACCACAGTTAAATATTTGCTTTCAAGGCAAGTAGTAGCAGTAAATCTAAGTCTCTATGCATGAAATCACTTGGCTTCACTTGAACTTTTGCATGTACACACACTGGCTACAGAAATAGGCCCTTAGTAATTCTGAATACTTTCAGATGTATTAGTAGATGGAAGATTTATTTTTAAAATACAAAAGAGCTGAATATTTAACCACTGATCCGTGATATTAGCTGTTTTTATTAAGAAACATGAAATGATCTCTCTCTGTTCTCATGGTCAAGATTCTGGAAAAGCTCTGAAAGTAAGGCAACACCTTGTTTTCTGTATGCATGAAGCATGACTTCCACAGTCCTGGGGGGAATTTTAAATAAGGTGAGCACTGAAATCTTCAGTGCTAGTATGCACTGGCCACCTCTTTTGATTAGAATCGCAGAACCATTTAGGTTGGAAACTTGCTGTTCAAGGACATCAAGTACAACCATTAGCTCTAACCATTAACTCCAGCAGTGCCAAGTCCACCTCTAAACCATGCCCCCAGATGCTACGACTATATGTCTTTTAAATACCTCCAGGGACAGCGACTCCACCATTTCCCTGGGCAGCCAGTTCCAGTGCTTGACAGTCTTTTGTGCAGAAATTTTTCTTAGTATTCAATATAAACCTGTTCAGTTGCATCTTGAGGCTATTTCCCCTTTCCTGTCACTTGTTACTGCTGTTTTAGAGTTGACTGGAGAGATTTGTAACTAATAATTTAGAGGAAATGGAAATGGACATTTCAATAATTTTGTTATTAATAAAACTTGTTTGTTGCTGTTTTAGATGGGGAAGTCACCCAATAATTTTTATTTACCCCAAATCTTCCATGGTATCTGACAGTAAAGACAGTAAAAAAAATTTAATAAGATTGCAATTTACAAATAGCTTACAATTTCAAGAAGATCTATTAACTTAAAAATATTCTATACGTGAAGATGATTAATCTTGAGAGTTGCAGATTTCTGAATAACAATATTAACTGAAGGCAGCTTTACATTAAGACTTTGAGTGTTTCATTCTGTTAAATCAGAGGAAAGCAAACTAGTTACTTTTTTTATCCTGTCATTCAAAGCTGTACCCATTGCTATCAATACAAAACCAAAGATTTCTTCAGCAGGTAGCATGTTTATAGCAAAATTATGTAAGGGTTTAGCTGTGTGTCCGGTTTCAAAGGTGTTACTCCTACTGATGTCAATGAAGGATGTGCCCAAGACTTTGCTGGCAGAATTGAGCCTTACATGCTCAGCATTTCTCCATGTAAAGTTGCTGCAAACCAACTGCAAAACCATGTTTTATGCATCATGCCGGATGCATTGGCTGATCAGTTTCTGTGTGACAGAGACATATGAAAGAGATAAGCTGTTTTTTCTGGTTTGTGTGTAGACAGCAAGATGAAATGTAAAGTTTTGCTGACACAGCTCTTCATTTAGTAATTTATTTTCTTTTAAAGATTCTTAAACATTTTAAGAAAATGCTCTTAGGTTTGTATTTGTAGTAAGGCCCATAAAGAAGATGGGTAAGATTCAAGTTTGATAACACTGTTTTTTTCTCCCTCTTTTGCTAGTATTCATCAGTCTGCCTCTCTCCCTTGAACTTCAAGTTATAATTTCTCATTAAACCTCTTGCACTATAGTCTTAGTCATGACTAGGTTCTGAACTCTCAGTGCAGCTTATCTTTTCCCCAGACCTTCTAGTTACAATTTGTGATCTCTTTCAGCACGTAAAGGTGCCCAGAGACAGCCACTGCTCAGGCAGGGGAACTTAGAGAGGAGGACAGAGAGGCAAAACTCACATCAGAGGGACTGGAAGGGGGCTCTGAGGACCTAAAATTTGTCAAAAATGATGGCCAGGTGGGGAGGATGGGGAGGCATGGAAAATCTAGGGATAGAAGGAAGAAAATATCAAAGCAAGCTTCATTGGTTGTTGATTCCTACCACTGATATTTGCTAAAAAGAAACAGTGAATCCTATCAGCCATCCTATTTGTAACTGTGTAATAAAGTTTTGTTATTAATGAATGGGTTGCCCCCAGCATAATCTGACTTTCAATGCAAAAAGATGTAAATGTTTTGGGGATATGAATTGCGTCTAGATTTTTGGGCATGACATTTAAAATTTGTGGAATTTTTTTTAAATTCAGTTCTTTTTTTTCTTTCAAATTTTGTCATGCATTTCAATAGGGAAATTTTTTCTATGATTTGTGGGTGAATCCCAATACATAACTGGAAAGCAATTTCAAGTAGTAAACATTTTCTATTCTGGGACATCTAAAACTGACAATTTGTTGTAACTACTCACACCTGTAAGTATAGGCTGAATTGAAGTCTGAGTTCAATACTGACAGTCATGAATAAAGAATTTGATAAGGAACATGTTAAAGAATTTGATGGTGTTCTCCAAGTTTTTGTAGAATTTGGGGATGGTTCAAGCAGGTGACTTGATTTCAGAGCATGGAGACAGCTCTGTAATAGAAGAATGGCTGTGTGATCCAGTAGATGAGACCTTTAATCAGCAGTTTGGGAAGCCAGAGTTTTTTATAAGATCTGCTGATAACTTTGCTGCATAACCTGGGACAAACTGCTTATCTCTTATTCCTCCTGTTTTCCCATGGAAAGGTATTAGTATTCACTAAATGTCAGGTAAATGAAAATGTTATATGAGATTGAAAATGCTTCCTTCATGATGTACTTTGAAAACTGGGATTGAAAAGTGCTATGTGAGATTACAGTAATGTGGGCTGTATATGAAAAACAATATAGCTAGGTTTTCATGTACAAAAGTAAAAAGTAGGATTATGAGCACTTTTCTTTATTTTTTTTGTGAAATAACCATTCAATGAGCAAGAGAGAAAAGCCATTCTCTTGATCTGAGAGGATATGATCTTTAATTAAACATCAAGTAATCGTGCAATGTCCTTCTGTTGCTTCTAATGCTAATAGCAAAAAAGCAATGAAGTGTTTCTAAAGCAGAGTGATGGGAATGCCTTCAAAAATACATGAAGCAAATAGGTTTATCAATGATTAACTCCCTTTCAGATAAAGCTAGAAAAAGGGGGTTAATACTAAAGTAAAAAAATGAGTACATTTTAGGAGTTGAACACTATATCACAAATTTTTTGTGTTTTAGCTAGAAGAACAACACCCCTTTTGGAATATATTAAAAATAGAAAATTAGAAAAGCAGGTACGTTCAGACTTTTGCCTGAAGTTCCACATTTATGTTTCATATGGTTTTCTGTTGGACAATTTACAATTAATCATTATTGAACTCTTCAGAGAATACGAGAAGAGAAAAGAGAAGAACGAAGGCGGAGAGAATTGGAGAAGAAGCGTTTGCGGGAGGAAGAGAAAAGGAAGCGCAGAGAAGAAGAAAGACGTAAAAGAAAAGAAGTGGAGAAGCAAAAGAAGATTTCTGAAAAAGAAATAAGGATCAAGGTAACTGAGATCAATGAAAAAAAAATTATTCTTCTTTTGAAGTTATCCAGAAGTTCTTTGGTATCTCAATATTTATTTAGTGTACAGCAACACAGTGTGGAGACACTAAACCAGTTTTGACTGGAAGGGAGAGCTGTGTAGGGCTTTGACCAAGTGTTGTTTGAAAGTGTGACTGATGTCCTTACCTTACTGTGATGTCCTGGTGCAATTACAGCAAGGAGCTCAGATATCTTCATACAACTCTGCTGCATTCCATGCTAGCATTATCTGACAGAACCAAATTGTTCTGTGCCAGCCTGTTGGAAGATTATTGTGGGTTTGATCCCCATATGGTCCATTCACTTAAGAGCTGGACTTAATGATCCTTATGGGTCTCTTCTAACTCAGAACATTCTGTGATTATGTGTTTCTGTGAAACACTTTCTATAATGCAAATCCTCATTTGGCCATTGTGCAGAAATACATATTTACATTTATGCTCAGAACTGATGTATTTTAATTGCATGCTTTATCCAAATTATAGCAAAGTCTTGCTGATTTCAGGTTGCACTGCCTTTCAACAATCGGAACGGATTTTAATGACATCACTTAGGAGGGTGTATCTTGTGCTATGAAGTCAGACCACATAAAACCATCTTATGACATAGATAAAACTGTTCATCTAAACAAAATTTCCTGTTACTGGAAAGGCTTTATAGGCTGTTTTGAAGAGGGAATTTGGTATAAGAATCTGTAGCATAAAGCAAGAACACACAAACTTGACTCAGATTTAGTGGTGGTGAGAAGACACAGAATTGTGGACATCATTCCTCATTTCTTCTTGAAAAATAGTTTCCTTCACCTTAAAGCATAAAAATAGTAAATTCTAAAGCTGAATTACATGTTTTTTATATTTGGGCATAAAAAAATACTCTAGAAGTTCATAAGAAAAGGGACTTAATCTTTAAAACATAATACCTAAAATTGCTTGCCCAAAAAGCCCTAGTATTTATGACATATCTGTGGTGATATGACCCTGAAAGCTATTTCTGTCTCTGAAAGAAAATGAAAATACTACATGAGAGAAACATTATAGAAGTTTTAAATATTGAAAAAGAATAACCTGTGCTCATTTCAGAAATGAAATGCTGGAATGGAGACTGAAATGTTCTTCCTAGAATTCATATGTTAGGGTAATAATTTGAGACAGTTGGTCCTTTTATGAAGATTATGCCTGTAATACTGTGCACTGCTGAAACCCTGTGTAGGTTGCTATGAACCCATTTTATATATAATATTTCAAGGAGTAAAGTATTAATCCTGCTCTCTTTGTAGTATTGTAGCGGTTCTGCTTCTTATTTTATGGGCAATGACATTGAGCTCTGTTACATGATTTCTAAGAAACCATAGACCATAATAATGTCTTTATATTTAAAACTCAGGAGAGAAGAGTAGGTAAGTGCTTGCAGAAGAATAGGTAAGTGCTTTCTTCAGTATTTTCAACATATTTGAAAGTGTGCAGTTGAATGCCTGTTAATGACTGTCACTCCTTAACAAATGTAAACCACCCTTTTAAAATTACTTTGCATTTCATACTTTGTAAAATACATTCCTAGCATGTAAATAAAGTATCTCCAATCTTAGCAGGTTACTGATATATTTAGTACTTGTTAAAATGTCTGTACAATAGAGGAGAATAATTTTGCATCATAATATAAACAAATATCTCTTAGCTTCTCAAGAAGCCTGAAAAAGGAGATGAACTGGCCAGTGAAAAGCACAAAGAAAAAGGTGAAGAAGCTGACACTGAGGAAAACAAATGGGATAAGTCACCTGGATCTGGGAGTATAAAATGCAAATCTTTGGAGAGTTCACTAAAAGAACTTAAGGAAAAGTAAGTAAAATTTATCTTTTAGTCTTTAATTTAGATGTTAAATGCTTTCATTGCAAGGCTTAAATGTAAGTGGTGTTTTGATGAGATATTCTGTCACCAAAGAACCAATTTCATTCTGTGTGTGAGTAAATCTCTTCCGGTTGTTTTGGTAGAAGGTGTTTCGTAACAATTTACAAACCTGGTGGCAATATTAGTGGATGCAATTTGTTATTAGTGAAATGCTATGAAATCCCAGATTTAAAGGATTTCTGCATGAAAATTCAAGTCATCCAAGTAATTTTGTTGTTGTTTTACCTGTTCTCCATCAAAAGCTCGAGTAAGGCTCTCCTTCCATTACTCATGTCAAAGACTAAATTGCCATACTTTTCCTTCACACATGGGCTGGCTGCAATAAACATAAAAATGTATTAGGTAAGTGGGACAATGGCAAAAAAAATGAGTGAAAGCCTTATGATAGATACATGCAGTAGGCTGTCTCTGTCTGCCACTACCTTTTTTGTGTTACATTTGCAGTGGTAGGAGCAAGAGGCATAGCTCAGTTCTATTACTGCTGTAGCCTAGAAATGACTCATCTTAGAAGTGTTTTCAGCAGTTGTTTCTCTTTCTTGTCCTTTGGCATGTAAGTCTCATCACTAGCAGGATTTACTCCTAAGATATGTAAGATAAATAACTAAGAAAAATATGTATGTTCTGAATGTTCCTGAAAACTTCCATGTCCCATTGAAACTGAAAATATTCAGCAACTTCTTTGTTGATGTCTTCAAGAAAGGAAACAGAACAGGCTCAACAGAAACACTTGCAGGGGCAAAATCAGTTGTTTGCTACTCATAGAATCTTTCAGGTTGGAATGGACCTTTAAGATCATCGAGTCCTAACCCAGCACTGCCAAACTGCCCTTATAAACTATGTCCTTAATTGCCATGTCTACATGTCTTTTAAATACTTCTGGGGATGCTGAACCCACTGCTTCCCTGGCTTTCTATGGATTAAACTTTTGGTGGTGCCATGTAACATTGTTTGCTATTGATCCTGTAAGTTTAATAAGGTATTATTGTAGATTCTGCTCATGTAAAACAGAATCCATTTGGCTGCAAACAGTACAGTAAGCATTACCTTGTGTTTCCATGTGCTGATTTCATCTTGATTTTTGGTTGGTAGAGATAGCAAGCTATGAGCTATTTCAGCTGGATTGAGATTTAAAGTTGAAACTACTTTGTCACTGACTCAGAAATGGGTAATTAGCTGGAGCTGCAAAGTCTACCTGCAGGAGACTGAATTGCCTGTTTGAAACTATGTCAAAGGTTTGGTAGCAGTAGCTTTCTACCACAAATCAAAATCTCAGTAGGTGCGTAAATTACCTGGTCAAATGCAGGTTTGAAACTATACCAAAGAGAAGTGTGCTCCCATTCCCTTTACTTCCATTCATTTCTGGTTTCTCTGACTGTGTAACTTTGTCTTCTACTTATACACTGAAATTGCTTACCCTGCCATTTGCACTCTTGTCTGCCTGTTCACTGTGGCAGAATCTTAGGAATCTACTTTAACCACTCTTTGAACAGGAGTTTGTATCCCTGTCACCTGCCTGCCTTCAGACACAGCACTTCCTCCGCAGCAGTAGCAGACAAGGGAAGAGACAAGTACCAGGCAATACTACAGCAACAAATTGAGGGAGTCTTCTTGGCTCTTTGGAAGGTCATGCCCCAAGCCTTGCTAGGACTTGGAATTAGGTTCTGGAATAGCATATTAAACATGAAACAAAGCAACTTACAGCCACATACTCCTTGGGAGATAACATAGTATTTTATATAGATGTATCCATGCTACAGGTACAGGATCTGTGTAATTGTGGTTGGTTCAGGTGTCTGTGACAGCTGGGATGTTGCTTCCACTTGGTGAATGTGTTGTGCTGACACAACTTCAGTCTGGCAAAATGCTATATAACTTACGTCTTATTCAAGTTCTGCTCTGACTTTCAGCTCTTCCTGAGATGGGGCCTCTTTGGCAGCCCCACTAATACCCAAGTTCATAACAGATATTAACAATTTTCCCATTTTGTATGAAAAAAAAAGTTATTTATATAGATACACTTTTATTTGTATGAAATAATTCTAAATGAGAATCATATCACTATTTGATCACTACAACATTAAAAAATCTCCATCCTCTCTGATTCTATCTGCAGTTTCCCAGAATATGAGGAGACTGTCAAAAGTAACTTGCTGTTTCAATTTTAAGTATTTATACATATGTAATAAAAAAAACACCCTGCCTGTATTTGTTCCTTTCGAAGTTCAATATATTTTGTAATCTTTCTTCATTATTTGCAGTTTCACCATATGAGAGAAACACCTATTTACTGAACTGGAACAATGAAGTGAATAAGAGAGCTGAGTATTTTATCAGGCAGGCAGCCTGATATTGCCAATAGTCTTTATAATATAAACCATTTACAGCATAGCAGAAATTAAGTATCAGGTTGTGGTAAAGTAGTGGTCTTTGCCAAAATAAAATATGCAAAGGCAGGCTAGATTACTTTGAGACACAATAAACAAAATCCTGGAACGTAAGAATTTATTTTCACAAATGTCTTCTGCAAGTTATGATGTCAGTAAATAATTTTTGTTATACAGAGACATAAAATTGATAGATGATACCTGCACAGTCCCTTCAGATCCTGAATGTTCCTGTTTCAGGGAATACTTACTTGCATGACTCATCTCAACACCAGGCTACAAGATCTAATAATGCAGCATGTGTTAATGTGGGGAACTATTGATAGGATTTCAGAGAGGGATGGAAGGTGAAGAATGGGTCTTCCACAACAGTCACACAAAATCTTGGTAAAGCTTTGTCTGCTATTCTGAACTGAATGCATGGTCAATGGCTGGACATGCATGGGTGAGACATTCAGCACATAAACCCTTCGTAATGAGAAGAAAACCTTGCCATATGGCTTACCTACACACTACTGAAGTTAAAGGAAGGGTTCAACTTGTATCTTTTTTGTATCTGCTCCATTTTACTGTTAATTGCTTGGATTTTCTTTCTTTTTATACATACTCATAGGTCACAAAATGATAGTGACAAAGAGCAAAGAGATTTGGAGAGAAGATTTCGAGAAAAAGAACCTGAAAGACAAAGGTATCGATTGGATGATGGCAGAAAGCATAGAACTCACTATGAGTTTGACAAGTTTATGAGGAGGAGTGAAGAAGAGCTGAAATGGGGGAAAGGATACAACCAAGACAAAGGAAAGAAAGGGAACTACAACTACAGCTTCACTGTGGAGGCAGTAGACAAACTGGGTAAAGAGGACAAGTGTGATGACATGGCATCCAAAAAGGAGCGCATAAGAAATAAGGTTCTTTTATTCATTTAGGATAATCTTTCATTAGCTAAATATGGTTCAAGATCACAGGTTTTAGCTTCTGCAAATTCAGCATAAAGAGACTTTATCTCTTTTTCTTTGAATATCTTTTTCAAAATAATTCTTTATCTCATTTTCAGTAAAACCCAGATTTTTTTCTGGGTTGTTGTCAAATGACAATAGCAGTTAAAATAAGTTAAAGTTACAGGTTCATTTATATTCACAATGTATAGAAGACTTTCTGTCGTCATTTCAACCCTGTCATTTTGAGTATACTGTTCTTGGAAGCCTTACATTTTGTAAGTGTATTAAAAAATTGTTACACTTCTGATCTGTAATGAAATTTAAAAACTGTGGTGTGTTAGTCTTTTAAAAATGTACTTCCATTACTCTTATAAAATAATTATATTATGGATTTGCCAGGCATTGCTTGGTAGAGCAACAATAAGGACTTCAATAAATAGCTAATTCAGAGAGCATGAATGTATGGATTCTTCAGTATTGCGTACCTGCCAGTATGAAAGTGCCATCATTTCATCAGGATAAATCTATCCTCATAGCTGTTGTCAGGGGAAGAGCAGATGCAAAACCAGTGTGAGCAGGGCCTGTATCAGGGTGTGTAGTAGAGCTGTCCCTTATTGTCTTCCAGAGATATGGGTATCGTTTTTCTCAGGCTGGCTGATTTCACGGATGTGCCAGAGTCTTTTCAGGATGTGGCTCTCTTTGTCAGCCCCATTCTCTCTCTCTCTCTCGTGATCCTAGATTTTCCACAAAAGATGACCAAAACACTGTTAGCATAGAAATTTATGCTGCATGTGAAACTCTTCTTTTCAAAGCAAGTGACTAATCTGTACTATGGGCTAGGGCTGACAAGAGTAAACTGGTCCCATGCAGCATGAGTCTGCATGGAGTGTGTAGGTAGCAAGTTCAGGTGGACTCACTGTGCATGTCAAGGAAGTCATCTTGAGCAAACACAGAAAGCTTGGTGTGCTCTGGGGTTTATTTTATGCAGAGGTCAGCTGGGCAGGATGGCTAAGATTTATCTGCATTTACACATTAGCCACTTTCCTCATCAGTGGCTCTACATTCTTCTGCAGAACAGTCAGAAAAATGGCTAGTTCAGAAATGGGAAGATGGAAAAAATATTTTTTGATTCTTGCTGTGCTCTTCTTGAAATCTGTCAAATCGATCTCCAACCTTGGAACTGCATGGTGGGTCTTGGGGGACTTTTGGCAAGTGTTAAGAAGCTGCCTGCTTTTTATTTTTTTGCATCACGCTTCTGGTAGCTTGCTGAGTCTCTGGATTAGACCACATTTAGGACTAAAATGCTAGATTTGTTCCCTAAAACAATAAGCACCATCAGTAAGGTATTTTGCAGTGTGGTGACTTTTTTCTTTAGAGTACTTATCACATAGGTGAGATTAGGGGCTGAGTTTTACAACTTAGGTATAGCACTGACAATGGCAACACAAATTTTTAGTCAGAGATGGAATCCTTTTCTGAAGTTTGTAGGAATTAATTAGAAAATGGGAAAATTTCAGTGTAAGTAACGTGTTAGTTTTTATGCAAACTGCAGGCTACAGGGATGTGGTAGGGAAAAGTCATTTGGACCTTTTGTTGTAAACTTTCTAATGGGCACTGCTTTTCAGAGGATCTGCTTTTATGCAGCTGTTTGGAATATACAAGTGTTTTAAATGCATTTCTTACCACATCGCAAAGCACTAACTAGAATAATCTTGTTGTAAGGCTCAGTAGTGAATCTTGACATCTGGTCTAAAGAGAAGGAGAAAAAAGGTGAATGTAAATAAGACAAGTGGGTCAAAAAAGATGAAAGAAAAAGAAAAGAGGAAATGCATATTTGGAATAAGAAAAAAGAATGAAAGAACAAAAATCCAGAATTACTTCACATTATTAAGGCAATTGAAAATTGGTCTAGTTTCATGTAGGACAATTTCAGTGCCCTGTCACTGTCTTTAAGTAGGCTGCTGTCTGTTAGCTAAACTTAACACAAGACTGATCAGAAAGCTCAAGTATTGGTGAGCTTTTGTTGTTCATAGCATTGTGTGCAAGTAAAATATCCTTTCCAGGAAAAGGCTTCTTAAGCAGGGTTTCTAACTGGTGTGTTTTACTAATGACATTTAAAAAATAAAGAGTGCTCTGAAGAGCTACAGAGCGTCACCATTTACAGGTTTGAGGTCCCTTTTGCATGTAAACTGGCTCCTTCTTCCATTTTCTCAGGATCAGAGCAGCATGTGTATGATTGGGTCACTCACAGAGCCTGCACATGCTCAAATTGTACTTTGTTTATTATCAGTGCATAAATTCCCCTGCTCTCATACCCAGTATGGAAGGCAAGATGAAGTGGAGCAATAACTGCAATTTTATTTTGATATATATAATTCAAATGTGCATTGCATGTTTAAATTCTGGTAATGATTGGGTAATGATTGATGATCAGTTGAGGATAATTTTCTAGCTGCTACCTGCTGAGCTGTTCTCTGGTCTGTCTTGGATTTTTATGCTTTTATGTAATATTTGACATTCATCTGCAGAGTTGCAAATGTACAGGCTATTGTTCTTCTCAGTTGATGTTAGTGAATGTAGCAAGATTTCTCTTTTTTTACTTGTAAATATCATGTTTGATAATTGTCTACAGTATTTCTCCTTGTTTATGTCAAAAGTATCACAGGATCTTTAATCTTTACAGCATTTTTCATTTATTCAAAATGTTTGGCTCCCAAGAATAGTGTTATGAACAACAGATAGTGAATGCTAGATATTGAATACCCAGTCAACTTTCATTACATTCCATTTTTTTGTCCTGGTTCTTGTGAAATGTAAAGTAATTTAACACAAAATCTACTTTCTTCATAAAAATTCAAATCCTCAAAATTCCACATACCTGTCCCACACGGGTTTCTCAGAGTATTAACCATTATCTTCTTCCTTCTAGGATCGTCCAGCCATGCAGTTGTACCAGCCAGGAGCTCGCATCCGAACACATGTGGGACCTACAAGTAAAACCTATGACTGCAGTGGGAAATCCTTTGAAGATGCTTTTGATAAAAAGTGTGAGGCAGATAATTCAGCCGGAGGTAGTTCTGAAAAGGTTGAAGAAGCAGAATAAAACAGTCTGGGGGAAAAGGCTTGTGAAAAGGAATGAATTTAAGATTCAGCATCATTACAAAAAATCCATTGGGCTGTTTCAGAACTCCACAGGCAATTGAAACAACAAAATAATAATAGCTCTGCCTCTTACTTTCTGTAAAATAAAAGGAAGAGTGACTGGAGATATATAAAATATCTTACAGCAAAGGAATATTGCTGCTTTTTTACAAAAAGCAGCTCAAGTACTCTCTGCCTAATTTAAGAGCAGTTCAAGTATTTTACTAGATTTACATTGAAATAGAAGACTCTAACAATTTTAAGGGAGTATTTATATAAGACTTTACAGAAGCTATATCATCTTTTTGAGTCTAAAGGAATGAAATGTAAAATTGCATCAGTTGGAAATCTGAGGCACTTTACACATACTGGTGCATGACATAAGGGCCCACAGGACCCCTTCCTGCAAATGGCAGGGGTGGGGGTTGCTGCAGGGTGTTGCAGTCAGACTCGGTGGGACCTGCCCTGCCCTGGGACGAAGCTCTGGAGGCAGTGGTGTTTGCAGGATGAGGCCCACAGTTTGCACAGTCGTGAGGAGTGTCCAGTGGTATCTGTGCCTCATGGTGTTTACGTTGGTTTTCAATTAACCATAGTGTCAGATAAGTGTTAGTAAAGCTACAAGTATGTTGTTGGGGAGTTTGTCATTTTCTGAGCCACTTTTGCCTTTTATGTTTTAATAGATTCCTTGTGCTTAAAACAGAAGACAACTAATGCAAACATCAGCACATTAATAATAAATCTGGTTTTAATTAATTACCTGGTTTTTGTTGTTCTGACACTGACTTTTGGACAAAAAAACCAGTGGTTGTACAGTGATGACTTTTTATATGCTAATGTTTCATATAAGTTGCAGTAACGGGATTTGGGAAATGTAAGATACATGAAAATCCTGCAGTTTTATTTGTTAAAAAATTAAACTCACATGAATGTCAATTGCAAACTACCATTTTGTAAGATCTAGGCCAAATTCTGCCCTCTAAGGCAGGCGTGTGTGTGTGTGTGTGTGTGTGTGTGTGTGTGTGTGTGTGTGTGTGTGTCTTCTGTTGGTTTCAATGATAGATGTGTGTTTGTTAAAGGGCAGGGTATGTTCATTTATCTTTCATGGCTGAAAATTTCTCAGTTGTCTAGAACTGAGACCTGCTTTGTCACTGAAGCTAAATAATAGGATATTAATTTATTTTTACATCCTCTCTGAACATTTTATTATTAAGCATAACATCTAATTGTCCTAAACTGAAAATTATTTATTGTATTTTACCAGATATTAAGCATTAAATAGAAAAAATGCAAAAAAGATTTTGACTATGATTTTGAGATGTGATACTGTGCTATTTTTTCATCTATTACTCCAGAAAAAAATAAGTAAGATGCTACTATGCTGCTTTGCATGCTTCAGAAGCAGATAAAAATACAGTTGAGAAGAATTTTAGTATCAGGCTACATAACTCAGCTGCCAACTAAAATTATTTCAAGATTAACTGCTGCTAGAGAATCATCTGGGTTTAGCTCCATCTAAAGTTTATCTCATTTGCCAATTTTATCCTGACTGCGGGAGAAAGGATTTTGTTTTGGTGTCCTGGCTGAGCACTGGGAGGGAAGGCTTTCCTCTCAATGAAAAATCCTGGCTTGATCCAAGGAAACTAGTCAGGGAAATTCTGCAGGAGAGCTGGGCAGAGCTGGGATCTTCACCAGATGAGGGTCTGCTCAGAAGCATTTCCCACCTTTTTGGATGTCCTGTGGTGCCTGGGGCAGGGGGTGTGTTTCACCTGTGAGAGGGACCAGCAGGACACAGAGGAGCTGTGGTCTTGTACATTCTCACAACTTGAGTTTGGTATCTTGTGGCTTTTGGGCTTCTCCTCCACCTGCACCCAAGTTCCTTGGTTGTGAGCACCTCTTAATAGTATTATAGAGAACTAACTAAACACAGTGATTTTGCAGTATTTTTCCATTTGGGACTCCTCATTCAAACCTCATCTCAGTAAAAACTGTCACAGCTTAAACACTTGTGTCCATCAGATCAAGCTGGAGATTCAGGTCAAGACAGAAATTTCTGCAGCCTTTTGACAAATTGTTGTGTTCTTGTAAATGCAGTCCACCTGCCCAGAGGGGCAGAGAGCCTGTCCTTTGACTTAGGTATTCATATGGAAGGAATATTCAGGACATTCAAATTTGGATGTGGAGAGTGCAGTAGTCAGCATCTGTGTACGCAGCTGCAGGCTGAGCTGCATCCCAAGGAGTCCCAGCTGCCTGATGTCTTGGAAGTGCCACTCAAGGAACCCTTAGGACAGCCTCTCTTATGCAGCAGGTACTGACATCTATTCTTCCCACATCTGAGAGGGACATTAGGAAGTACCAGCCACCATCAGCAGGATCTGAGCTTTGCTACACCTGCCACAAGTAGCTCAGGAGAGACAGGAGCAGCAAGGCAGCCCCAGGAATACCAGGAATACCAGGGTGCATGGGAGTGCTGCCTGCAGGCTCTCTGCTACAGTGTGACCCCTGTTCAACAGAGAAAACACCACTGCTGAGCTTCCCCTCTCTGCTCTCATGGTCATCTTGGGCAGTGCCAGCAGGACAGCCTGTGCCTGTGGAAACAGGAATCAGGTTTGGGATGGGAGCTTGTGCAGCCATATCTGCAGGGAAGACTGCCCGCTGGAATCGAGCATGTACCTCATGGGAATGCTGCAAAGTACAGTGGCTAAAGCAGCAGAATACATTTTCAAGTCTGTGCTCCAATGTCTCCTGCACAGGAGTGCAGCAGGGCCTGAGCTTGCTTCCCTTGCTGGGGCAGCCAGGCAGGAGGAGCTGCCACCTGCTCTGTGCTCACTTGTTCTTTTATGCTTCTCCCGATGACATCAAATAAATGCAGGCTTGCTGCCTGCCTTTGTGCAAACTCATCGTGGCGTGAGAGCTTCATTGCCACAATAGTAACTTTGTTTTGCAAATTCAGCTTAGCTGAAAGTAGAGACAGCACCCCACGGAATGGGAATTGTGTCTGGTTACATCACAGCTGACTTCAGTACCATCTGTTTTCTTGCTTTTAAAATATAATGTTTTACATTTAATAAAAAGCCTTCACCCACTTGATAGCTTCACCAAATTTCTGTTGCCCTGCTTCTTATTGAATTCCAAGGTCATTGACATTTAGGAAGATGGAAATCACTCTGTCTGTCAAATGGAGATTGGAGATCTGTTGTGAGCTACTGTGTTACAGGAAACTGATGTGGAATGTAAATATTCAGTAAAAAATCCCTGCATTTGTGCTCGTTGCAGCTTTAAAGAGAAGCTTATTCAGATCCAAACATTGTACTGACAATTTCACATTCAGTTTTTAAATATATTCAGTTCCTTCTTTTAATTTAAAACCAAATGGTTGAAAGTTGTTTTTGGAGAGTCTTTGGAGGTCCATCTGTGGTTAAGCCAACACTACTGCTCTTCATGCTGAAGGCAGTTTCTTTGCTGGCATTTATTTGCAGTATTAGTCCTGAACAGACCAAACAAAAGCCTGAAGTACAAACATGACAAAACCCACTCATTGGGCACAAAATAATATCGAACATCAGAATAAAATATGCCTAAAAAAGAAAATTGAGTAGTACTTCCCTCCCCAAACCTGATGGAATGTTGAAAATCAGGGGAAAATCACTTGTGAGTTGGTGGTGCTGTTAGAGTCTTATATGATGAGAGGAGTGACTTAAAATTCTCTAGTTACTTATTTATAACTGTTTCATTAGAAAGAAAAAATATCTTAAACAAGTGGGAAACCAGAATGTTATCTGATAATTTCAAAGTGGCTTAAAGGCATTCACTCTGTCTTCTGTGCCTCCACTTGAGCTTTTCATTGAAGTTCGTGAAGACTGAAAATGTCATCTTACCAAGTGCTGGTTTCCTCTTAGCAGTTAATCCCTCTCCCAAACTTCTTCATTGTTGCATAATTAAAAATAAGTATATTCCAGATATATTTGTGATTTACACTTCTTTTGGCCACACCTGATCTCCTGAATATGCCCCATTTGCATATCCCATCTAGAATTACATAAATACTATCAGGTGCTCATACTGTCACATAAATATTACAGTATTTTGATTCAAATTGACACAAACACACAAGACATTGGACTGCAGTGTTCTTTGCTCAATTCCAGTTAACAGCTTGGATTGTTTAAAAAAAAAATTAATTCTCTAACACGCTCCAAAAGGGTAAAGATAAGCAAAAAATGCCAAATAGACTTATGGTGCATGCAAGATCCATAAATGGCTCCCAGAATGTGCTGAAGGCAGGAGATACAAAACCATGCAAAAAAGGAGATTCTTTTTTCCCCCCTTCTCTTTAAAAATGTTGATATAGTCTAAAATAAAACATGAAGATTCTGCATAAAAATTCATTGGGG